AAAACTTCAGTAAATAAAAAGAATCATCGGTGTTCTTTGTCTCGTTAAAATCTGAATCTGAAATATGTTTGTACTATTTGTATATTCCAACAAGTTGGGGGCTACACATTACAAAGAAGAAAAATAAGCAAGAGATAAAAGGAACTTTTGTAGCTTATTTTTTTGGTTTTTCCTTTAAATTCTCGGTTGTTTTTGGGTTTATCATAGGATGAAGCGGGGGAAACTAAACAATTTATTTTAGCTATAGGACCAACTAGAGGCAGTTCATTTGAACCCAAATATTTTTGACTTCAAGCAATTTGTGAAAACTCATTAAATATCAATAAATATTATATCTAATCTCATAATTTTAAAATACAATGAGTAAAATACTAAGAATTTTAAAGATCAAAATCATTTAGTTTAAATCCCAAATCTATGAATTTGAATCAAAGGATTCAAACTGAATTTGATCCATATTTTAAACAGGAGCGGTATGTTCATTTTACTCACCAACAACCAAATTTATTTTCGTGTATATAAATTGGTTTTTCAGGTCTCAAACAGATAGAAAAAAATCACATAATGTCTCTCTTCTCTCTCTTCAACCCTCTCTCTCTTTAATGCTAACACTACATCCGACGACTAGCCTAGCCGCTGGCGACCACCGCCCCACAGGTAAGCCTCTCTTCCTTCTCTCTTCTCTCCCACCCCCTTCTCCCATCTACTCTCTCTTCTTGTCTGTCTGTTTCCATCTCTGTTTCTCCCCCATCACCGGTGACCGTACCAGCGACGACATTAACCCCTACCACCGTCTCTCTCTTTCCCCTCTTTTTTGTCTCTCTTCTTCATGTGTGTGTGGGTGTATCTCTTCGAATATGTGCACATGAAACAGGGCCGACCGGACCAGACTTTTCCGGCGAAGCTATATTCACTTTGCCGACGCTTTCTTTTCTCATTATTGACCGCCTATCTCTAGCGACCTTGATTCTCCTGTTTTCTGTAATTGGTTATTTTGTATATTTGAGGCATGTTTCCCCTTAGGAAGCTTTTCTTATATGTATTTATTATTATGTGACTTACGAGGATGATTGATTTGGTCCCGAGAAGGTTTTGGATTGCTTTGGAACAATTAGTTCTTAGTTTGGAAGCTTAAGTTGGAAATGATGATGACGGTTTGACTTTTGTAACAACGACCCTAGAACGATATTTGATGGTTCCAATAGGTTCGTATGGTGATTTTGGACTTAGGCGTATGTCCGAAATTGGATTCAGAGGTTCCTAGGTTGATTTGGCTTGTTTTGCCGAAAGTTGGCAATTTAAAAATATAGAATTTTTCTAAGTTTTATCATGGGTTGACTTTATGGTCATCAGATTTGGTTTTTGGTTTCGGGACTTGGAATAGGTTTATTTTATTATTTGTGACTTGTATGCAAAATTTGGCGTCATTTCGAGTTGGTTTGGTAGGAATCAGACGCTTGGTTGAGATTTTAGAAGTTTTTGAGTTCTTTGTGATTTTTATGCATTTAACTGTTCGATTCGTGGTTCCGAATGTTATTTTGATGATCCGCACGTGTGAGCGAGTTCATACAAGGTTTATGTACTTGTTGGTATGATTGCATGGGGTCCTGAGGGGCTCGGGTAAGTTCCGGGGTGGTTTCAGATCATTCATATATGTTTGGGAGTTGTTGGTTGTTGGTGTGTCTGCGGTGCTTCGAGATCGCGTACGGGAATTTTTAGGCAGCTGGCGTTTTGTTCTTCGCGATCGTGTAGGGGTGGACGGGTTCACGGTATGTTGTGAATGTTGTCCTTTGCATTCGCGAGAGGGCATCGCGCTCGCGTATCATTGAGGCACGCTGGGGAATGGTTGGAGCTACGCCTTTGTGTTCACGAGATTGGTGTTGCGTTCGCGCATGGTTAGTTGTTGGAGGTCACGATCACGACGTTGGAGTTGTGTTCGCGAAAGGCTGTTTGGAGCAGGTGTGATTTTGGCTTCTGCGACCGCGATGGTTGTTCCGCAATCATGATGCATATGCCTAGGGAAAGACTTGAATATTTCATTTCGAAGGTTTTGGTCATTTTATCACATTTTGAAATATAGACCTCGGATTTTGGCGATTTTGGAGGGAATTTTCATGATTTGGATTGGGGTAATTATTTTTTACTAGGATTTGTTTATTATTCATGATTTCAACCTTGATTTTAGTGATTGATTGATGAATCTACGTGAAGAAATTTGGAATTTTAGTAAAAACTTTTCTAAATGAAGAATGGGGATTTGAATCCTGATTCAGAGTCGGGTTTGGATGAAATTGGTATGATTAGACTCGTATTCGAATGGGTGTTTGTAATTTATAATTTTTATCGGTACCGAGAGGTGGGCCCGAGTTTGACTTTTTGAGTTGACCTTTTGATTTTTGTTTAAGATCGAAGCTTTATAGTTCGGGGTTATTTTCTATAGCTTCTATTGATATTATTAAGTTATTTTGGCTAGATTCAAGTCGTGCAAAGGTTTATTTACGCGGGGATGGATTTTTAGAGTACCGATTTGGCTTGTTTGAAGTAAGTATCCTGCCTAACTTTGTGTAGGAAAAATTACCCATTAAGATTTGCCTTAATTGCTTATTTGTGATATGTGTGAACGACATGTACACGAGGTGACGAGTGTGTACCCGGTCGTATGTGTGATTTATGATCGGATTTGACCCAAGGTTGCTCTTATTGCCTTGTTTTGATTGAGAAATCTCTACGCTACGTGTTTTCACTTTAGTTGTTTACTTGAGTTTATGTTCCATGCTAGAGATCATGTTTTAGGATTGTAATTCCTTAATTGGTCAAGTTGGGAGTTTGTGAGATTGTTGCTAATTTGAGTTAGCTTTCATGATTATATGTTGAACACACATCCGTATTTTCTTATTGAATTGTCATTGTGCACTTCTCGACAGATTGTAAATTTATGTCTTGATGACAATTGTCGGCATGTTGTGTTGTTATGATTATGGCACATAAGGACTTGTTGGGTGGATTATTTGGGTGTTGGCACGAGGTTTCTTCCGTGCTATTGTTATTATTGATATTGCATATGTGGCGAGACAAGTCAGGCTATATATCGGATTTGCACATGTAGCGAGACAAGGTGGGATGATTTGTTATACGCGTGTGGCGAGACAAGGCAGGCATTTACTTTACTGTTGTGCACGCGGTGAGATAAGGGTGACATTATGGGGATGACATGTGATAGCCTAGGGGCATTTTGATAATGATGTTTTTGTGGTGGTGCAAAGGGGAATTCTTGTTTGTGCTTATGACTTCTTAATGTATGTCATGTATTTTTACATGCTTTGTTGCGTTGTTCCTAACATGCTAAAGTGTGCTTCTATTATTACTTGATAATTTGGTTGCCAAGATAGATTTACCTATGTGCAGTTGTCATCTCATATTTTATCGAGTTATTGGTAGCAAAACGAATTGAAGTAAAAATAAAGTTGTTATCTTGCATTACTATATTGATTCTTGAAAAGTTCTCTTGAACCTATTATTTGGAAATTGATACGGAATCGAATTATTATGTGGCATGAGGTATTTGCCTTGTAAGTGTGACTTATATTGTAGTACGAGGTCTTTGTCGTGTGGGGTGTGATTTATGTTGTGGCACGGGGTCTTTGTCGTACGAGGGTGATTGATAATGTGGGCACGATGTGCCATATATATGTGATTCTATTTGATGACTTGTTGTCGAAACTGAGTGTTTACTTGCATTAAATTATTATCACTTGTTCTGATAAGAGTACAATTGTTGCCTTCTGTTATTCTTCCTATTGCTAGTCTTTGATATTTTGTACAAATTATTTGACTAGTGAGTGGCTTGATTTGAACCTCGTCACTACTTCACCGAGGTTAGTCTTGAAACTTACTGGGTACTGACTGTTGCGTACTCATACTACGCTTCTGCAGATTCATTGTGCAGATCTAGGTACCTCAGATTGCGCGGGTCATTAGAGAGTGGTGTTGAACTATGAGAGATTTCAAGGTATACCTGTTGCTCCGTTCACAGGCCTCGGTGTCCCCATTCTATTTCTTTTTCTACTATTTATGTCTTCCAAACAGTGATGTATTTTTCTAAGATTTATGTACACTTTATTTAGAGCTTATGACTTAGTGTTACCGAATTTTGGGAAGTTTCTTATTGTATTTATGTTTGGCAGTTTTATTATATTTCGCAGCATTTATTAAGTTCTAAAGTTGTTATATTCTGATTGGAATCATGATGTGATAGGATTACCTAGTCTTAGGGACTAGGTGCCATCACGACTCCTAGGATGAGATTTTAGATTGTGACATTTCCAAGATAGTCCGGCGTGTTCCAGTACTGTTGGGCATTTTTTCGGCGAGCCCCATTTTTCTTGCGACTGTATTTGACATCAATGTCTCTGGCATCATACTTCAGAGGCTTCTATCGAAGTTCTCTTATTCCTCTCTTGTCTTGAAATTTGTTGTTTTAACTTAATACTATCTTCTTGCCTGCCAATTGTCATTTGTTTTAGCATTAACGAATTAGTTGATGTAGTAAGAGATTTGCCTACCTGTTTATATTTTTATCTTGAATCTTTGCTTGTGCTTTCGCTATATCGCAAATTCTAGTTTAGTCTTTAGTATCTTTGCCTGTTTTTGTGACTTGTTGTTGTAGATTATATTTCTTTTATTTCCTTTAATTTTTTGACTCTTTTGCTTTTTTACTTGTTAGTATTTGTTTTATTGTCTTTTATCCTTGACAATTATATTTACTTCGACTTGCTTACATTTTCACTGCCATTAGTTGAGTCATTTGTATCTCTTGTGTCCTAATATTTTCTTAAGTCTATACATAAACTCTGATTGCTTGTCTCCATCTATCGTAGTTGTAGTTTAGCCTGTACTCTTTAGCATAGTTCTTTGCTTGTGTAGTGGCTACATTGAACGGTGGTAGAGTAATATTATGTCTTCAGGGGGTGCGGGGGCAAGGGTAGGGTTACACTAGGCTGATGGTGGGGTCATGGAACATAGAAACTTTAACGGGTAAGTCAATAGAGTTAGGGAAGATTCTTCAAAAGAGGGGGATTAATATAGCGTTTGTTTAGGATGTTAACGGGTTCAAACTGTGGTGTTCAGGTGGTGCTAAGGGCAAGAATGAGGTAGGTATTTTAGTTGTTAGGGATCTCAGGGAGCTAGTGATGGATGTTAGGAGGGTGAACGGTAGGCTGATAAGTATTAAGCTGGTGGTTGGTGGGTTCACGTTAAACATGATTAGTGCTTACGCGCCACAAGTGGGCCTGGACGAGGAGGTCAAGAGGAACTTCTGGGAAGATTTGGGCGAGGTTGTGCATGGCATTCCTCACACCGAGAAGCTATTCATAGGAGGTGATTTTAATGGCCATGTTGGGGAGACTGCTAGGGGTCATGACGAAGTGCATGGCGGGTTTGATTTTAGAGTTAGGAACGAGTGAGGAACCTTGCTGTTGGATTTTTTTGGAGCTTTTGATTTGGTGGTAGCTAACACGTATTTTCATAAGAGGGAGGACCGATTGGTCACTTTTTGGAGTAAGGTAGCTAAGACTCAAATTGATTATCTTCTCATCAGGCGGTGTAATATGGGTCTTTAAACTGATTACAAGGTTATTCCGAGTGAGTGTCTATCGACGCAACATAGGCTCTTAGTAATGAACTTGAAGATCAAGAGTGCAAGGAAGAAGAAATCGGTGTACGGTCAGCCTAAGATCAAGTGGGGAGCCTTGACTAAGGACAAAGCTCAGGAGTTGGGGGAGAAGCTGTTGGCCATGGGGGCCTGGAGGTGTAGGGGGATGCGAGTAGTATGTAGACCATGACTACGAACTGCATTAGGAAAGCTGCTAGAGTAGTATTATGGGGTCACGAAGGGATACACGGAAGGCTATAAAGGGTACTGGTGGTGGAATGAAGAAGTTCAAGAAAACGTGGATGCCAAGAATACGACATATTTGAAGCTAGTGGAAAGCACGGACGAGGAGGAAAAGAGAACTTATAGGGAGTCTATAAGAAGGCTAGGATAGAGGAAAAATTAGAGGTCACGGTAGCTAAGACTACAACATTTGAATGATTGTATGAGGATCTTGGGGCCAAAGGTAGGGACGAGAATCTATACAAGTTAGCCAAAATTAGAGAGAGAAAGGAATGAGACCTGGACCAAGTGAGGTGCATCAAAGATGAGGATGGTAAGGTATTTGTTAGAAGAGGCGTGTATTAGGCGTATGTGGCAGACGCACTTCCATAAACTCTTGAACGAGGAAGGGGATAGGAACACCGTGCTTGGTAAGTTGGATAACTAGGAGAGTCAGAGTGATTTTATGTTTTATAGGCGTATTAAGGTTGTAGAGGTTGAGGAGGCAATACGGAAGATGAACAGGGATAAGGTGACTGGGCCTGACGAGATACTAATGGAATTTTGGAAGAGCACGGGTCGGGCAGCCTTGGAGTGACTTACTAGTTTGTTTAATATTATTTTCAAGACAAAGAAGATGCCCGAAGATTGGCGGTGGAGTTTCATGATTTCGTTGTACAAAAACAAAGTTGATATCCAGAATTGCAATAAATATAAGGGTATCAAGCTGCTGAGTCACACTATATAGGTTTGGGAAAGGATGGTGGAGAGGAGGGTGAAGTGTGTCTATTTCCAAGAATCAATTCGGATTTATGCCGGGGTGGTTGACCATTGAAGCCATACACCTTGTGGAAAGATTGGTGGAGTCCTATAGGGAGAGAAAAAAGGACTTGTATTTCGTGTTCATTGATTTAGAAAAAGTCTACGATTAAATCTAGAAGGAGGTCCTATGGAGATGTTTGGAGGTTAGCGGTGTTCTGGTAGCATACATTAGGGTGATTAAGAATATGTATGATGGAGATAAGACTCGGGTGAGGACTGCAGGTGGTGACTTGGAATATTTTCTTGTGGAGATGGGGTTACATCACGGATCGACTCTTAGCCCGTTTTTGTTTGCCGTGCTTTGGATGTGTTGACGCGACACATACAAGGTGGGGGTGTCATGGTGTATGCTATTTGCTGATGACATAATACTGATTGATGAGATGTGGGGAGGGGGGTTAACGCAAGGTTGGAGGTTTAGAGACAGACGCTGGAGTCTAAAGGTTTCAAGTTGAGTAGGTCGAAAACATAATACTTGAAGTGCAAGCTCAGTGATGGGATGCTTGAAGTAGAAGGGGAAGTGAAGATCGATACACAAGTCATTCCAAAAAGGGATAGCTTCAACTTTCAAATATCTTCGGTCTGTAGTCCAAGGCAATGGAGAGAATGACCAGGATTTTACTCATCGTATTGGAGTGTGGTGGATAAAATTGAGGCTCGCTTCTGGGGTTATGTATGATATGAATGTGCCACCAAAACTTAAAGGCAAGTTCTACAGAGTGCTGATTAGACCGAGAGTGTTGGCATGTCAAGAAATCCCATGTTCAGAAGAAGAAGGTAGCTGAAGTAAGGATGGTAAGATGGATGTGTGGGCATACCGGGAAACACAAGATTAGGAACGGAGTTATAAGGGACAAGGTGGGTGTAGCCTCAATGGAGAACAAACTGCGGGAATCGAGACTGAGATGGTTCGGACACGTGTAAATGAGAGCCATAAATGTCCCGGTCAGGAGGTGTGAGAGGTTGACCATGGCGGGTCTAAGGAATGGTAGGAGTAGGCCAAAGAAGTATTGGGATGAAGTGATTAGGAAGCATATGTCACTACTTCAGCTTACTGAGGACATGACCCCCGATAGAGTAGGGTGGAGGTCGAGAATTAGGGTGAAAGGTTGACAGGTAGTCGTTAGTCTCTTAGTATTATCGAGTACTATTTATGTATTTTTCTTATTCTTGGTTCTTTATATTACATGTTGTGCCATTTGTTCCCATTATATTGTTGTTGTTGCTGTTTGTTATTTGTTACTTTATTTTCATTGTTCCTTGAGTCGAGGGTCTATCGAAAATAACCTCTTTGCATGCACATGATAGAGGTAAGATCCACATATACACTTCCCTCCCCAAATTTCACTTGTGAGATTACACTGGATTTATTGTTGTTGTTATTGTTGGTTACAATTTGAACTCCGAGTTTCACCCCACTTCGCTAGGCTGCGTCCTTGGATTCCCAAAACTTCCCAAATATTATCAAGACAAAGTGATAGTAAATGACTACTTGTACAAAACCTTTTTCCTAAAACAACAAACCTTGTACTTTTGTTCAATAATAACATGGTATATTCCTTTTTCCACTTGCACCCAACATTCCAATAAGAAAAAGAAGATTCCATTCATCTTCCTATAGTTCAATCTGTCTATAATTTTTATATATATAATTGTGATGTTCCGTCCGTGCATGTCTCGATTAATTTTACAAAATACCTATTTTTGCTCATCAGCATAAGTATCAAGTAATTATGTCCACCAATCAACATATCCAGGTTCTTATTCTCACAATTTAACCTAACTTTTGGGCAGTTAAAGAAAACCAAAGAATACATGATATTATATCCAAACATTGTTTAAAGTTGATGAACTTGTCGTTCAGATTAAAGGCATTGTTTAACAAAAAAATAAGATTCTCGGTCAAAGCCTATTTTTAGAAGAACTCGGGTTACTGATAACCAAGAAATTCTGTACTTTCTCAATTATATGAAAGGAAATAAACATGACAAGAAATATGGAAATAATTGACAAAAGAAAGTAATTGTATTCCAGTAAGAATCAGAACGTGCATTTACAAGTGAAATTCTCTTCCCTTATATGGGTTTACAAATATAACATTCATTCCTTTTATGTCTGAGTCATTATGAGCATTAATGACATTAAATGAACAGTTATAATTGGCGATCGTAACTGTTCATGAAGATTCTGTAACGGTTCAGATTTTTCTTCCTCATTAATTGGAGGTTCGTGAATCTTCCCTTTTTATTATCTTGATTCATTCCATCTGTGTCTCTTCATTGAACAATTTTGGCTCGAGCAACTGTGTCCTTTCATCTCGTGAGTGATTTGTTCGTACCTCTTGTAACTCGTGCATCTTTTAATTATTACATTCCAGTTGTCATCTTCTTAGTGATCCACGTATCATGCCCTGTCAGCCATATATAATTCCACGTGTATTATTTATTTTTTACCAATACAGATAGTCCCCCCACTTGCCGAATATTCTGCAATTGAATATTTGGGAAGTGGTACGTACTTATGGCAGGAAGTTTTTGCCGCCGTTTCCCATGTATCACTGCGTCTTCTTCAGAACCAACATGTCGCATGTCACTTCCATTTAATTTATGTGCCACGTGGCCTTTGTCGATTGGGTCTGCGTCTCTTCAACGATTTTTAGGGCTTTCTTGAGGTTGCATCAGTCACTTTTAGTTTCACGAAACCTTCAATCTGGAATGTTCTTCTTCTTTAATCGTTCTTGTTTCTTTTGTATTTACTTGATAGGCACAGAGCTTATGAAGAGAATTGCCAACACTGAACAGCTAGTCAACGATTATCATACAGAGGCAGACAACTGGAAGAAACAATACGAGGGTCTTCAGTTGGAGAAAGAAGTTTTAAATGAGGAGAAGTGTACTTTGGAACAACAAGTAAGAGTGATGGCGGCAATTGAAAAAGCCTCTTCCAGTCAAGTTGGCAAAGATAAAGACATCCTTGAGTCTTCATTTGCAGAGCAATTTTCCAAGGCTACCGAAGAGATTAGGGGTTTGAAAGAACTCCTTAATCATAAGGAGACCTATACCGGGTAGCTTGTTCAAACACTCACTTAGGCTCAAGAAGACCTCCGTGCCTATACTGATAAGGTCCCGTTCTTGGAGAGATCCCTCGTCCCTTTGAAGGCTTCTTATGATGCCTCTTTGACTGAAAGAGAAGAGTTGAAGGCTGAAATTGAGCAATGAGAGAAGGACTACGAGGCTCTCGAAGATAAATCAACTCTTGACGTAAGCTGGGCTTTTCTGAACACGCGCCTCGAGACTTTGATGGAGGCTAGCCAGGAAGGATTTGACTTGAATGTTGAGATTGCAAAGGCTAAGGAAACTATTGAAAAAACTCAGAAAAGTCAGAACTTTTCCTTACCTGAGGTGGGAGTTCCCAAAGGTGATGAACTTACTCCGGTGAAGTTGGTGTTTAAACCTCTTCTGCTCAAGTCGAATCTTCTCCCATTACTGATGATGCCATATTGGATTCTGCCCCATAGTGTTCTTAGTTTGTTTTTTGAACTTTTGATGGGAAGTTTGTTTTATTTGTTTTTATTTTTGGAATGATTGGCTAGTTTTTACCCCTCGTCCGTTTTGGGGTTTGTAATCAAACTAATGCCTTGGTTTTAACTAAGTTTATACTTAGTTTTAGCTAGGTTTATTATATAATATTTCATTTGAGTTTATGTTTTACTCTTTGACTTGTATTTCAAAAATGCTTTAGTATTTCGTGATTTTGGTATAGACACGAATTTTATAAAAGAAGGCCCTTTTATAAACGACACTAATGAAGAAGACGTCTCAACTTCATATTGGTGTAAGTATATGAAAGAAGTAGGAAAATACATGTTTCGAAGAGATTTCTGAATAATTTGAGGAAGTTTCATATTTTGAACTTTCAAATTATATAATACTTTACATGTATTCAAGTAACTTTTTGTACAACATCTACAACTCTTTCATAACTGTTTTCCTTATAACAGATTTCATAAAATTCTAGGGTATATTTTGCAACCCATGACTAATCATTGCCCTTAACCTAAGTACTCGTAGGATCTTGTAATTTACATTCGTGAGTTTACACTTTATCAAAGCTTATTACAAAGGTTTTTGAATCAGGCTTGTTTTTTGACTCTTGATTTTTGATTTTTGGGTTGATCGAGGCTTGACTTGAATTCTGACTCTTTTAATCTTCTTTAGTCTTCTTTGACTTTCAGTCTTCTTTGCCTTCCATAGTCCCCCAAGTGATAGAGCTTTGAAGTATAAAATCTCGAGCACTTGATTATTCCTTTCATGTGGTCCATTTTTTGAAAAGAAAAATACATACGAGACTCGGAGGTATATTTTTAGATGATGACTGCTTAACCCTTTTTATTTCCATCAGAAAGGTTGTAACCCATACTAGGAATAATTTTGTATCCCTCGTGTCTTTCAGGTCTAATATCATCATTTGGTGTGAGTTAGCTTTTTGCCTATCATCTAAAATTGTTAGTATAATTTGACTGAACAAAATAAAATCGTAGTTAAGTGATACCTGACCATGTGTATTTCCCTTGCTTAGAAATAATATTTCTTCAAATAAACAACATTCAAATTCGAAAGTAACACCTTGCCGTCTATGGTTTCTAATTCATAAGCACCTTTCCCAGCGATACCTCGAGCTTTATAAGGACCTTCCCAATTTGGGTTCAACTTTCCTGCTTCAGCTGTTTTTGTTGATTGAAAACCCTTTTTGAGAACGAAGTCCCCAATCTTGAAGTATCTGAGATGAGCCTTCCTGTTGTAGTATCGTTCAATGGTTTGCTTATGTGCTTCCATCCTTATTAGAGCGGCTTCTCTTCGTTGCTCGAGTAAATCCAAGTTCTTTCTTAACTCTTCATCATTTGATTCTTCTGTTGCTTGTGTGAATCTCGTACTTGGCTCTCCTATTTCAACTGGGATTAAGGCTTCTGAACCATAAACAAGTAAAAATGGTGTTTCTCCCGTGCATGCCTTTGCTGTTATTCGATAAGCCCATAATACTCTTGGTAACACCTCGAGCCAATTGCCTTTTGATTCTTCTAATCTTTTCTTCAAATTATTAATAATAATCTTGTTTGTTGATTCAGCTTGTCCATCTACCATGGGATGATAAGGTGAGGAAGTTATTCGTTTGATTTGCCAACTTTGAAAAAATTCTGTGACTTTCGAGCCTATAAACTGTGGGCCATTTATCACTAACGATTTCTTTTGGCACTCCGAATCGGCATATAACATTCTGCCAAATAAAATCCATTACTTTCTTTTCTCGTACCTGTTTGAAAGCTCCTGCCTCTACCCATTTGGAAATATAATCCGTTAATACTAACAAATATCGTACCTTTCCTTTAGCTTGTGGAAAAGGACCCACTATATCCATTCCCCACTTCATGAATGGCCGGGAAATAACCGTGTGTAATAATTCTGCTGGGCGATGCATATTATTGCCATATCGTTGGCATCTATCACACTTTTCTATAAAACTTTCTGCATCTTCCTCCATTTTAGGCCAGTAGTATCCTGCTCTAATTAGAGTTTTTACCAAAGATCTACCTTCTGCGTAATTTCCACAATGCCCCTCATGCACTTCTTTCATCATATATTCTGTTTGAGCAGGTCCAAGGCATCTTGCTAAAGGTCTACCAAATATTTTTCGATATAGATTTCCTCGAATTAAATAGTAACGAGCAGCTTTTCGTCGAAGCGACTGAGACTCTTTTTTGCCTTCAGTTACGGTTCCATACTTAACAAGCTCGTTTCTCCAATCCCAGGTCAGATTATTGAAACTTACCTCGTTTTTATCCTGGTCCAATGCTGAATGAAATAAATGTATTACGATAGCATTTTCTGCACTTGTTATTTCCGCAACTGATGCAAGATTAGCTAGTGCATCTGCTTCAGTATTTTCTTCCCTGGGTATTTGCACAATCTTCCATGATTGGAATTGACTTATCAATTCTCGTGTCTTTTCCAAATATTATTGCATTCGTGCCTCTCTATCTATGTAAGTCCCCTGCATCTGATTGACTAACATCCGAGAATCACTTTAAATCACGATTTGCTCTATGGAGAGTTCTCGTGCCAGTTCTAACCCTGCAATTACAGCTTCGTACTCTGCTTCATTGTTAGTAATAGGGTAGCATTTAATTGCTTGTCTTATATTTTCTCCCGAAGGTGGAATTAAAACAATACCCAAACCTGCTCCTTTAATATTTGAGGAGCCATCAGTAAATAGAGTCCACGTACCTGGATTAGATCCGGTGAATATTTGTAATTCCTTTTCTACTTCAGAAACTATTTTTGTGCTAAAATCTGCTAAAACTTATGATTTTATTGTAGTTCTAGGTTGGTACATGATATCATACTCACTGAGTTCTATTACCCACTTGGTTAATCTACCTGAAAATTCTTGTTTACGCAAAATATTCCTTAAAGGATATGTAGTTATTACGGAAATAGGGTGACATTGAAAGTAAGGTCTCAACTTTCTAGATGCCATAACTAATGCTAAATCAAGTTTTTCTAAATGAGGATATCTAGTCTCAGCATCCAACAAAGATTTACTGACATAATAAATTGGAGATTGTTTACCTTTGTCTTCTCGTATCAAAATTGCACTTACAGCCATTTCTGAAACTGCTAGATAAACGAACAACCTCTCACCATCTTTTGGTTTAGCTAGCAAAGAAGGATTTGATAAGTATGCCTTCAAAATTTTGAGGGCTTGTTGGCATTCTTCAGTCCACTCGAACTGATTTTGCTTTTTTAGCACTGAAAAGAATTTGAAACTTTCTCCGAAGACTTAGAAATAAATCTTCCCAGAGCTGCTATCCTTCTTGTCAATCTTTGTACCTCTTTTTTGCTCGTGAGTATATCAGGAATTTATTTAATAGCTTTGATCTGTGCAGGGTTTACTTCAATACCTCTACTAGATACAAGAAAACCTAAGAACTTACCTGAAGCTACACCGAAGGCACATTTTTCTGGGTTCAATTTCATATTATAGTTGCAGATGATCTCGAAGGTATTTGAAAGATTTTGAAAATGATCTTCCGCTCGTGTAGATTTGACTAGCATATCATCAATATATACTTCCATACTCTTTCTCAGGTGTTCTTGAAACATCTTGGTCACCAACCTTTGATATGTGGCTCCAGCGTTTTTCAAATCAAAAGGCATGACTTTGTAACAATAAGTCCCCCTGTCCATAATAAATGAAGTTTTTTCTTCATCTAAAGGGTCCATTTTTATTTGATTATAACCTGAATACGCATCTAAAAAACTGAATAGCTCACGATCTCATCATGAATCACTTGATTTTTGAATGAACCTTGCTTCCTCTTCTTTTGCTTGACAGGTACGTATGATGGATCTTCATTCAATTTATGAGTCATCACCTCCGGAGGTATACCTATCATATCCGAATGCGACCAAGCAAAACAATATGCGTTAGCTTTTAAAAATTCAACTAACTTACCTCTCATTCATGGACTCAGCTTTGCTCCAATATAAACTTTTCGATCTAGCCATTGTTCGAATAGCACGACAGCTTCGAGCTCCTCAATTGTTGTTTTGGTATTTTCATTCTCCTCTGGTTCTTGAATTACATCCGGTCTCGAATCCATATCAGTTTGCTTTGATACATATTCAGATGAGATTTGATTTAGCACGTCTTCCATGAAATCCTCATTTGTATCAATGCTTTCCTTGTGTGACTGCACCACTGAATTGATATTCTTAGAAGTTTGTTGATCTCCTAGAATTTATTAAATTCCCCATTTTGAAGGAAACTTAATAACTTGATGTAATGTTGACGGCACATCATCCATGTCATGAATCCATGGCCTCCCAAGAATCACATTATAGGCCATGTCTGTGTCTATTATTTGAAATTTCGTCTCTTTGATGACTCCTTCCGCGAATGTAGTTAACATTATCTCACCCTTCGTAATAACGGTTGAATTATTGAATCCAGATAAGGAATGTGCTTTTGGTATCATCTGGTCGCCAATTTGCATTTCGTTCACCACTCGCAATAAGATAATATTCACGGAGCTACCTGGATCAATTAAAACTCGTTTTACATTAGTATCATGTATAAGTAAAGATATTACCAGTGTATCATTGTGAGGAATATTAAGCCATCAGCATCTACATCATCAAATGTTATGCTATCTTCTTCCAAGGTTTGTCGAACTCGCTTTTCGTGGGTTACTGTGAATTTCGTCGTCTTTTTCGCAGCTGTGTATGTTACACCGTTGACTTCTTCTCCCCTGCTTATCACGTTCGCTGTTCTCTTTGGAGATGGAGGTTTTGGAGGTTCTTGTCTATTTTTCATGTAAGACTGTTTACCTTTCTCGCTAAACAGGTCTGTCAAGTATCCCTGCTTCAACAAATGTTCTACCTCACCTTGTAACAGTCTACAATCTGATATTCTATGGCTGTGGTCATTATGAAACTCGCACCAGAAATCTGGATTTCTTCTTCTTGGGTTTGATCTCATTTCCTTTGGCTATCTCACCTTATCTCTTATACTCCTTAAAACAGCTACCAACTCAGAAGTACTGATATTGAAACAATAGTCTCCAATCCTTGCATTTGCATTGGTATCCCCATCACGCACATCTCGATCTTTTCTGATCCTAGATGATGATGAACCTGAATCTCTGTTCCTCAATCTATGGTCAGATCGTACATTTTCTAGCTTGGAACGTGCGTCTCGCCCTGAGGGTACCATATAAGGCTCGTAACTATTTTTACCGGACCTCTTTTCAGATTCCAACCACCTCGATCCTGTTCTCTCATCAACCTTTGACTGAGCAACGATGTCTTCTTCAATCCGCAGCTTGGTACTATACATGTTATATACGTCATTCCATGTTGTGGTAGGGAATTCTCGTAAGCTTTCTTTGAGCCTCTCCGTGGCTTCTGAAATTTTTTCATTTAGATTACTCGCAAATGCCATGGCTTCCCAATTATTAGGTACTCTTGGTAGCATCATTCTTTCACACTGGAATCTATCTACAAATTTTCTGAGCAATTCTGTATCTCCTTGCTTCACTTTGAAGATATCTTCCATTCTTTGTTCAACTTTTTGAGCCCCCGAGTGTGCTTTTATAAACAAATCTGCAAGCTCAGCAAAAGAGTCAATATAATTTTCAGGTAAAAGAGAATACCACGTTAACGCCCCTTTCGTGAGTGTTTCTCCAAACCTTTTGATCAACACTGACTCAATTTCCTGCTTGGTTAAATCATTGGCTTTTACTCCTGTGGTAAATGCAGTGACATGGTCACATGGATCGGTTGGTCCATAATATTTTGGGATGTCAGGCATTTTGAACTTCTTGGGAATGGGCAATGGAGTCGCGCTTGGTTTTCAGGTTTGTTACGAATATTTGTCGATATCCACTCCCTTAATCACAGGTGGTACGCCAGGTATTTGCTCGATGCTGTCGTTTTGTTCTTTCACCTGTTTATGCAAAGTTAGTAGTAAAGTTTGTAAATCAAAATTCTTTGATGTACCTAGTCTCCCTCACGTGACTCATTGGGAGTTCCCCCGCTTCCTGAATTAGCAAGCCCTGAGCGTGGAATTTTCACAGTTGCAGTATTATTTGGGGGAGGAGTTGGTAGTACAGTTGACAGTCCCCTCACGAAATCTTGGAGAGCATTATTCACGTGTTCAGCGATCAATTATTTCACAGCATCCTGCTCAACGGTCTGCTCATCTCCATGTTGTTCATTCGTGTGAGTAGCAGATCTTTTAGGTTTTCCATCTCGAGAAGTGCGTGGAGATCCCTGAGGTGATGGAGCTGGAGTTCCTTCTACCTGTTGGTTGTTGTCATTGACAGTTGACATGATTTGGTTGTGAGAGAGAAAGATTTGGAAAGTAAAAATATTATGAAATTCCCGGTAACGGAACCAATTTGTTTAACCAAAAATTAAGATTCTCGGTCAAAGCCTATTTTTAGAAGAACTCGGGTTGCTGATAACAAAGAAATTCCGTACTTTCTCAATTATATGAAAGGAAATAAACGTGGCAAGAAATATGGAAATAATTGACAAAAGAAAGTAATTGTATTCCAGTAAGAATCAGAACGTGCCTTTACAAGTAAAATTCTCTTCCCTTATATAGGGGTTTACAAATATAACGTTTCATTCCCTTTATGTCTGAGTCATTATGAGCATTAATGACATTAAATGAACCGTTATAATTAGCGATCGTAAATATTCATGAAGATTCTGTAACAGTTCCGATTCTTCTTCCTCATTAATTGGAGGTTCGTGAATCTTCCCTTTATATTGTCTTGATTCATTCCATCCGTGTCTCTTCATTGAACAATTTAGGCTCGAGCAACTGTGTCCTTTCATCTCGTGAGTGATTTGTTCGTACCTTTTGTAACTCGTGCATCTTTTAATTATTACACTCCAGCTGTCATCTTCTTAGTGATCCACGTATCATACCCTGTCAGCCATATATAATTTCACGTGTATTGTTTATTTTTTACTAATACATGCATGACATAATTTCTCAAATTTCTTAATCAATTGAATATACTACGAATGATGCACAATTTTTTAATTTCTTTTTTCATATATAAAGGTAGGGGAAGGGGAAACAAGGTGGTAATTACATGGTAAGGAATCTACCACTCACAAAAAAAGAATCAGGTAGCCAATCAACTAAGCTAAATTCCCCTAATACAAAAAGTATTTCGAATAAGTGTTTTTAAGTTCGAACTAAGCTTCAACTCAACTTGCTTTAGTCCAATGGTTCCAAATAGAGGTGTTCAAACTGAACCGAAAAATCGCACCAACCCGAAAAGTCAACCAAACCGATTAAAAAACCTGACTAGGTTTGGTTTGATTTGGTTTGGTATTGAGTAAAAAAAATCGAATCAAACCGATATATGAATATATAATTTTTTATATATACTCTTAAGACTTTATATAGAATTTTGTTTAAAAGATGTCTAAAAATATTTGAGATCCTCTCATGGGATATAATATCTAATAGAACTACAAAGTGCATTAATTTTTATTTACTTTAAATAATGGATTGTATCACTTTCTTATTAAGTGTTATTGAAATACGTGAATCATCTCTTTGTTCTTTCATATTCATATGTCATAATTTCTTATATATTTTTCGAATTTGAAGTGGTATTTCGATAATCTAAAATTACATAGAACATATCATTATTTAGGTGTCATGTTGATTTTTGTGTATAATTATTAAATTCGGTTAACCTTGAAAGCGTATATCAACCAAAAATTATTATTAGACGACTAAGAGAATGAACTATTATGTGTTACTAAAAAACATCTTCCATAAGAATACTTCAATAGATCATGTGTTTGTTTGTTATGAAACAATAAAAGAAGAAGAAGAAGAGTATTGCGGAGAAAAGTAGAGAGAGAATTCTTATTGATCAGGGATGAATTACAATGGAATAGAACTCCTCTATTTATAGGGAAAAAGTGACTTAGCCAGCATGTAAAAAACCCTAAAATCTCTCTAAAATATAGATATTCACCATTAATACAATTCTATTTATAACACTCTCCCTTGTTAACACCTTATAACACGCATTTATATGCTTCGTTAAAACCTTAACTAAAATAAAACCCAATGGAAAAAAAATTCTAGTGAAGAAAAAAGAGTACACATATTTAACAATACGCCTTTTGGTTGCCTCATTAAAGAGTACAACACGTATTAACTCCCCCTGATAAGACAATCAATTCACATCTTTGAGCCTTCACATTTCAATCTTGTGCATCATCTTCAAAATATCGCTGGTAGAGACTTGATAAACAAATCAGTCATATTAACTTGAATGAATATGTTGCACCTTGAAATCATCATTCTTGAGAGATATGTAATGTCTTCATAAAAAGTCGTGGAATGGCCTTTTCAATATCTCCATAGAGATTATCGCTATCATATTATCATGCTTATAGTTATAGAAAAATACATATGTGCACAAATTGCACTTAGGACGTGGTACTTCAGGACCAAGAATTGTATATGCTTTAAGTGATTTAAATCCTTCAGGGATTGTCATTAGTTAAGTCATATAAGCCATATAAATGGATTTTAGATTTACATCAAGTTTTCATGTCATGCTAGACATATAAGATAGATAAAGGTGATTGCACACACTATTTATTTTATACTTTCAAGTGTTTGAACTTCATGTCCAAAACTATATATCTTTCATATGAAACCAATTCTACTTGAATTGTTTCTCCAGACTTAAGATCCTCATATAAATATTTAGCGTTATCATAGATGTAATCGACGAATATTTTGTAACTGTTCCAACCACCCTTTTTCATAAAGACATGACATAGAGATCTCTTCATTCATATTTTCAGGTACCTAAACCTCTCTTGAGATTTTATGAACCCTATTCATGTTAGAAAAACTAACTTGCTTCCTCAACTTTGAAAATCCATCTTTGTGCATTATGGTGTTAATCAAAATATACACCGCACATCAATAATAATAATAAGATGAAATTATGTGGTTGCTGGCCATGAACCGCTTGTAAGGGGAGAATGTAATATACTTTTCTATATAACCTATATCAAACTGATATAGATAACTTTTTTCTCATAAACAATAGTTTAACTATTAAGTGGAGGCTCTCAATAAATTATTTTGCTAAACCAATTGTAATTTAAACCAACTTACCAAGATGAATTGTCTTGAATAGAAAATCTGGAAATTATACTCGAAAATAAAATTTTCTGAGCAAGTTACCTCGCAAATACCAAGTTGCGGGTTGTCACGACCCAAAACCAACCCGTCGTGATGGTGCCTATTGTGGTACTAGGCAAGCCGACTATTCATATATTTCCAACACTTTAAATCTTTGAAATATATTAAAATAGTTTAAATAAGGAAAATCTCTTAAAATGGGATAGGAAATCATAATTCAATACATAAATTCTTCCCAACACTAGGGTGTCACGGAGTACATGAGCATCTACGAAATAACAAAGTCTAGTACACTGTCTAGAAGTAAAACTGAATAAATAAACTGAAAGATAAGGGAGGAGAGTCAAGGTCTGCGAATGCCAAGCAGCTACCTCGATGATCTCCGAAGGTCTGACCTCTACAAATCAACAACCCCCGAAACCGGAAGCACTTGGATCTGCACACGAGGTGCAGGGTGTAGCGTGAGTACAATCAACTCAATAAGTAACAAATCTAACCTTTGGACTGAAAGTAGTGACAAGTCCAATATTATTACGGCCCATTTTCCACATTTAACAGTACAGAAAAGTTACATAAAATATGACAATGATATCTCAGATATTTATATTCTACAAGTGAAGGTACAATAATTTAGACATTCTTTCAACAAGAACTTAGACATGCTTTCAGATTTCACAACAAAACTTAACACATAACAGGGCAGATCCAGCCCACATGCAAATCAAACAGGCCAGATCCAGCCCAAATGCAAGTAAACAGGGTAGATCCAGCCCAAATGTCATAACTGCTAGCATTGCGCCCACTGTGGGTGTGCAAACTCCGAAGGGGCCGATCCAGCCCAAGCGCTATAATAGGCCAAATCCTGGCATCAATCAATAAAGCCTGCTGCGGCATGCAACTCGATCCCATAAATATCACTCACAATAGGCCCTCAACCCCACTCAGTCAATAACCTCTCCAGTCTCTCGGGCTTACCAAAATCATGATAATCAACCCACAAATGATGATATGATATAACATGTAAAGATAATAGAGGCTGAGACATAATATGCAAGTAATAACTGTGAGTGAGTACAAATCGATAGATTAAGCAATTAGTTCTACAGCAAAGAACGACCACTGTAGGTCCTAATCGTACCATCATATAGCCTAAGCAGAGTTTCTAACATGACTGACAGCCCAATAGATCTAACACATGGTGAAAATACGGGTAACAACAAGATTTAACAACTATTCAGTTCCATGGAATCGATCAAGTCACATTTCTTATAGTGCACGCCTACATGCCCGTCACTTAGCACATGCTCCACCTCACACCATTCACAAAATAACGAAATTCGGGGCTTCATACCCTC